AGTGGGGCGCCGCGGGCAGCGCCACGGCGCCGTCGGGCCTGACGCAAAGCAGCGACACCGCGGTGGCCGCCACGCCCAGGTCGGCCAGGGAGACGAGGAAGACGCTCCGGTCCTCCTGCCCGACCATCACGTGCCAGCGCTGCGCCAGCGGCAGGCTGAGCGTCCACGGCCGGCCGTAGCGCACCTGGATGATGGGCCGGGAGTGCTCGGCCGAGCAGTGGTCGAGGAGCGCCGCCGGGGGACCGAGGAAGCCGCAGCCGGGCTGCGGGCACGAGCAGGGCATCCACGGGCACGCGCGCTTGTGCTCCGCCGCGCCGTGGTACACCAGGAACCGGTCGCAGCCGAAGTCCCGGTACGCGCACGGCACCTTGGTGGCGCCCACCACGGCGTCCAGCTCGGGGCAGTGCGTGTCGGCGCGGCCGCAGGACTCGCCGTGCGCGCCGCGGCAGTAGCCGCACACCACGTGCCCGGTCTCGCACTGCCCATTCATCACAAGCACGTCAACGACAAGATCGTCGGAAAAAATGCCATGAATTTTCATGCCTTGTACTGATCTGTGAAATAATCTATGCATGGCATGCCGTACCTTGAACACGCGGGGCTTGAGGGGGAGGAAGCAGGCCTGGCAGTGGAGCAGCGCCATGTCCATCCTCACGTCGATCTGCGGCGGCGCGGGCGCCGCCAGGGCCTCCGACGCAGCCGCCGATCCCGGGCTGCCGCCATGGGACGTCAGCTCCCCCTCCTCCCACTCCTCCTCCTCCACCTCCTCCTGCCGCGGCTCCTGCTTCACCACGGGCACCAGGGCCTGGTGCCGCGCCTTCTTGCCGCCGTGCTCGCCGTTGCACGCCGGCATCGACGGCAAACACCTCTTGTCCTGCCCGGCCATGTTTCCCTCGATCCAACTAACTACCCCCCCTGCGACCGAGCTGACGCCCCCAACAAGATCCCACCGGTTTACACGGACGGGCAAGGAGTGGAGTAGAGTGAAACGGCTTCCGCTACGAGAGATTGCGTCGTGCCTATGCTGCCCGTCTTCCTAGTATACTATACTTATACAGTATTTCCTCCTTCCCAAAATATAAGGCCCCGATTGAGAAGATCAAACGGCAGGAAACGGGTTCTATGACGGAAGGGGAGCTGTGATAACCCCTAAGTTTAGCTACTCATCGACCGCTTAGCTGGACGAAACGCGGAACAACCCACGTCTTGCTACTCCCTCCGTCCGGGTTTACGAGACGAACGCGGACCGAATTCGTGTACAATTTCAAAATCGAATGCCGTGGTTGGCTTTATTAGTTCCCAACTCTGGAGGGAACTAAGTGATTCTTTGCGCGTGAACCAGACATTACACGTGGTTCATTGGCAAGAAATTATGTGTCGTGGGGCGGACTCGTGTATACTTTGGAAATGTAATGCCACGGTTGATGGTTTAAACTTTCCCGACGCCACCATTTTTTCCCCTTTCATTTCCACCCCTTCCTAACTTTAGGGGAAGTTAATGACTCTTTGCGTGTGAGCCGTTACTCATGATTCACTTAGCAAGAAATGGATCTTCGCACAGCAAACCCGTGTCGATAGATTGACCTACCCCGAAGCAGCACATTTTTCTTCTTCCGATTTCAGCCCCCTTCCTAAGTTTAGAGGAAAGTTAATGACTCTTTGGTGCGCGAGCCGTTACTCTTGATTCAATTGGCAAGAAATTGCTCGTCATGGAGCGAACTAGTGTATAATTCCCAAATCTATTATTGTCGTTGTTTTTTGTCATACCCTGATGCGTCATGTTTTTCTTGATTAGACCCCCGGTTCGTAAGGGCCTTTAGTCCCGGTTCACCAACTG